TGCGCAACAGCAACATACAGATACGGATAGTAGGGAACTTGATAAGGCATAGGAGCGGGAGCTTGTTAGGAAGCTTGCCCTTTCTGCAAAAAGATATCATTTGTTTCACCCTCTTTCTTCTTGTATCCGTTGAAAGGCTTCTTGGCATTGTCCTGGCTTCCAAAACCTCCTTGGATCTTTCCACTCTTTAGCCCTTCTTCAATTCTCTCACCAACAATCACTAAGTCAGAGAATCCAGCTGAGACACTACCGACCAGCTTCTCGTAGTACTGGCCTTGCAAGGTACCCATGAATATGTCTATTAGCTCACGGTCAACAAGATGTGGGTGCACCCTTGCGGCTAGCTCTCTCCATCATTGTGCGTACTCCTTGAAGGATTCATTGTCCTTCTGAGTCATACTCTAAAGTTGAGTACGACTAGGAGCAAGGTCTGTGTTGTATTTGTATTGCTTAACAAAAGCATCGGCTAGCTCAGCCCAAGTGCGCACACTATTACGTTCCAGTTGCATATACCATTCGAGTGATGCCCCAGACAAGCTGTCTTGGAAGCAATGAATCATAAGTTTTTCATCTCTGGCATAGGCAGCAGTCTTGCGATAGTACATCTTCAGATGAATGTTTGGGTAGCTGAGACCTTTGTACTTCGAGAATTCAGGCACTTTGAACTTGGGAGGAATGACAACATCAGGCACCAAGCACATTTCCAAAGCACTGAGAGAATTTGAGTTGTGCCCCTCAATGACTCGAAGTTTCTCAGCTAGATCGTGGCACATCTTCATAGCTTCTGAATCCTGAGCAGCAACAGGACTGTCAATGGGAATAACAACATGATAGTTTTGCACATCGTCATATTGATCCACCAGATTATCTTCGGTATGAGGAACTGGGATCTGAACCACAGTTGGCTGGGCTTGCGAGATAGCTCCAGCAGTAACTCCAGGCGTTGGGATTGGCTGAGAAGTGGTTCCTTCAGCCGCGATAGAGAAATTCATTGGCATTCCATAGGGGTTGGGAATAGGAACTGGAAGTCTGGTGGTAGACCCTTGTCCTTGACCATTGTTGTTGACGACAGTAGTTTCACGCATCTCTTCTTCCTTTCAGGCTGCAATGATGGCTTCAATGATCTGGTCAATCTTTCCTTTGAGAGAATCCAACTCTTCCCTGAAGGCAGCTTACTCTTGCTGAATCTGCTCCATCATTCATCTTGTATTGGCTCTAGTTGTGTAATGGTGTCGAGGAATCAGCTTGATTTACTGGAGAGGAAGGAAAGGAAACATGAGAAACTGCCGAAGGAAAGAAAATGCAAGATGCACAATAAATGAGATGCAATGAAAATGATATGCAATGCAAGATGAAAGATCCAGGATCACAGGATCATAAATTCGAACAGTTTTGAGGTTAGCCAGGTGAACGGATAGAGGACCACAATCACTGCTCAAAGAAACCCCACGGGTAGGATTCTAAAACGGGTAAGTGCCTAGAGTCATGGATATCTTTCAAAGATATTACAGCCATGATAAAGCCTCATCACGACAGTAATATCCTCAAAAGGATCTCCTCTAAGTGATGTTTTCGTATCTTCCACACGAGAAAGACTTCTTGGAGGCGTCAACTACATAACCATCGACACACAGGTTCTGGAAAAGGTTCTCAGAGTCATAGATCGAGGTTGAAAATATTATTGTAAGGAAGTAATACGTTCAAGGGATCTTATCTGATTGGGGCGTTCGTATTAATTCCAGAAGGAATCAACACTACCAACCACCATGGATAAAACTGATTTATGGTCCTTGGGATCAACGATTCAGGCTCGAAAATGTTATTGCTATGGCAAAGCCTCACCACAACAACAACATCTCCAAGAGAATCTACTCCAAACGGGGTTTTCGCTTCAACTCAACGTGAAAGACTCCACGCAAGTCTCCACTACACAACCACCATCCTAATCCTAGGTTTTACTCGGACTCGGGTGTAGAGCCATCTCACAAAGTATCCATAAGCAAAGCAACCCCATAATGCCACAAGCACAAGCCACAAAGATAAGGATACAAATAAAAAGCGAGAAGAATATAAAAAACAACAAGCTAACAACTCGAACTAAGATAGGCTCGAATCTCTCTTTCATGGAGCAATAGTCCCCAGCAGAGTCGCCAGTTGTCACACCTCGAAAATTTCTTTTCAAAAACACGACCCTCGCGCAAAAGGCGCGGAATGCGGTTCAACAGATTCGCCACCAAAATTTATTTTTCCCGAATAAACGGGAGAGGAAAATATCGAGAAAACCTCTTAAAAGTGGAAAGAACACGACCGTCGCAACCAAATGTTCCTGGGTTCGGGATTCGGTACTACGAGGAGGTGTTGCCAGTTTGTCGGTTTCATCTCTTGGCCTGTTGTCCAGCTAATAAATTTTATAGCTTTTTGAGAATTATGCAGACTGTGGGTCTTGACAGAAGATAATGGTAGCTGGGCTTAAAGCATGTTGTCTTCATTACTTTACTCTAACATTTCTTTTACAATTGAAGCCATGCGTTGAGGGCCTGTCAATCATGCCACCATTTTGCTTGTAATTTATAGTGATGGGCCTTTGTGGATTATGAGAGCAGATTTTTTATAAGATTTTGTGCAATACATATTTTTGCAATTTTCCTTGTAGGATCAGAAAATTCTTTGGATGGGCTTTTGACAATTGTTGAACTTTTGTAACCTTGTGACAAGCCCTTTTATTATCTAAACAAAAATGTCTTCTAATTTGAATCTCTTGCAACCCAAGCCCCGATATTGTAATCTTGAAGCTCAAAGATTCATTTGGTTATAATATGAGATAAAAGCTCTTAGACCCTCTTTGAATCAACTTGTATTACCTTGAAACAACTCACAAATAATCTCGGGAAGACATCGCTCGTGAATAAGTTCTCATGACTTAATCTAAATTAATCTAATAAGCATGAGGCATTTTAATCACGACTTCTCGTTATAACTTAACATAACCCCGACTTACGTCTTGATCCCACCGTAAATTAAATTAAACATATGCCTGAATCACAAATTGGTTATATATTGAAGGTTGACGATCCTAACTCGAAATCACCACCATGGCAACAAATCTTCCAATCATATCTTGAAAATTTAACCATAATAACATGATTTAACTTTCTCTTATCTTCAACTGAACTCCACACCTCCGTAAAGGCTTATGACCACATCAAACTCCAAGATATGAAAAATAACTAGAGGATTGCGGCCCAAACCCAAATGATCATCCAGAGAACAACCACCAAGCAACACCGTTATTCATGACAAGAAAAGTAGGACAAATGTAGGGTATGACAGTATGAACCTGAAATTATCAAGACTACCACCAAACGCATAAAATGCACCAAATATAACATAAACTACTTCTAGAAACAATGCGATAATGAAAATGCGGAAAGTATAATAAACATCAATATTACGAAAGAAAATGCTACCGATTATTGTGACTTTATGCCGAATAAATGGACGAAAACTCATAGAATTGGTGACCGATCAGTCTTGTAAGAACTTTGTTTTATGATTGTTTAGGTGTTATAACATCTACGTTTACCTTTGGTTGTAACCATTTGATTTTATTTTAAACTTCTTTGGATGAATGCTTGGTTGTAACCTTGTCATCTGTTAAACTTTATGAATCTTTGCTTGATGTTGTCATACGTTTGCCCTTATTTTCTTGGTTGTTACCATGATCATATATTTTCGTCATGCTTGAATGAGTATATGCTTGAATATCACCCTTGTTTTGATACCTCTTAACTTTGTTAAGTTTTCCCCAAGTGATGTAGCATGTTAGCTCTCATCCTAAAGAGTTTCCTTATGTTCCTTAGTCCAAAGGAAAGCCTCTCTATTGACTAAATGTCATAGACAACTCAGTTCTTAGCCTTCCCTTGACCTTGTTAGAGTCATTAGGTCCTTCAATTTAACCTTAAGGTAAAACCTATATCCCTTTGGCTTTGTTAAGCCAAGATCGTAGCACACCCTATTAGAAGTCCTATAACTTAAAACTTAGGGTTAGAGTTTGTAAACTCTATGTGTGTACCATTGTTATGTGTATTCAATTTTCCCTTTTAACCTTTGTTAAGGTCATCTCTAGTTAGGTCTTTCAAATTTAGGCTTAGAGAGTTTGTTAACTCTATATAAGTATCATTGTTATGAATACTTATTCCCCTTGGAACCTTGACCATAGTCAAGAGTTCCTCACCCCCTAGTTAGGAGAACTACGATTTCTCTGATTCCATCCTTGTAAGGATACGTAGGCACGAGACGCGACGTCTTGGTAAGCATGCTTAGTGTATATATCCTTAGCATATTTACCTTAGCAGATAACCATTAGCAAACAAACATTAGCAATAACACAAATACCTAACAAGAGGCTCCTATAGAGTACTACAAATACTTAGGGTGCTAATACATTCCCTTAGTATAACCAACCCCGAACCCCCCAATCTCTTAGCTTCGTTGTTACGTAGTACACTTAGGGTTTTCTTCGATCTTTACCCTTTCCTTTGGATAAATCAAGGCTCGGTGGTGAATTTTAATTATTTGTGATTCAAGTTAATTAATAGCTTTATATCCGATTCTCACTGCAACACCAATATACATACTATCACATGCACCTAACAACGAAATCATTATATGTGTTTCGCAACTACCATTATATGTGTTTTCCGTAGTAGTGCATGGACTATCTGATGAAAGGTTAACATTTTAACATTTGATATTCCTTCATGCTTATATGTTGCCTTCTTAACATCTTCAATCAATGAATCCCATATTTCATAAACTAGATGAAGACATGAAGCTTCTGTGTTAGTTCTTCTAAGAACATCATAAATAGGATTAGTGAAAGAAAATATATAATCAACCTTTTTCCATCAATTATTATGCAACAAGGTATCCTTCACATATTGTGCCTTTTGAACATCATCATCCTTGTAAGAATACCATTGCTCACTAATCACCATTTGTTAGAGTCCTGTCTTCAAAAGCTTAAATCTCTTAAGCGTTACAATAGTGGATGTAAATCTTGTTGAAGCAACCAAAATAAACTTTAGTGGACTTAATGAATTGAATTTTGACAACCTCATAGAGTGACCCATGACGAAGTTCTTGATAAACATTGCATCATCCACAATTTTGGTGATCCAAGAACACTCTTTATGAACAACACTATGTTTTTCAGTATCCTTCACTGCAGATATGTTCTTTAGATCAATATTTAATGTATGCATAACACATGAGGTCCAGTAAATATAAGGAAATTCAGCCTCGATAATTAAACTTGCTGCCTTACAAACATATGCATTATTTAATACTACATGCACAACATTTGAAGGGCCAACCTCCATAATTACCTCCCTGATGTGTTTAGCAATGATTCTCAATCTTTTACCTCATTAAAGAAATTTACGACCTTTAGAAACATAGGTCCACTCTATGTGACATCCATAAAACTAATAAGAGGTCTTCTCTGTGGATTACTCCATCCATCGCTAACAATAGTCACACCCTTTTGATTCCATGTATTTTTTTATCGGCTGCAACAAGTTTTTCACATGGATACTCTCATTTTGAAGTAATGTAGTCCTTAATTTGTTATAAGTTAAGGGTTGATAACTAGGTATAGAATTGTTGGCAGCATAAGCAAAAGCCTCCCTGAAGTGAGGATTTCTTACTAAATGAAATGGAAGTCCTGCAGAATAGAACATCCTAGCAATTTTATAATCCATTGCTTTTCTAGATTGCACATTAAAAGTAACCTCTAGTGTTTACACATTTCTATTTTTTGGTTCAACACTGATATTTATGGTGGAAGAATCTTGGGAAGCACTAGAAACTGGAGGCAAAGAGATTGGTTTTGTTTTTAGCTTTTCCATCTTCAATGTATACTCATTGTCCATTCTTGTTAAATCTAGAAGTTTGTTAGTTGTTACTTGTTCACAAACTTTCATGCCTTGTCCTGAGATCTTCAACAAGTGTGCTCTCACTCTAGTATAAGACCAACTAAAATTTACCTTACAAAGATGGTATTGAATTTCATTGTTTCCACCTCCAGCCCTCTTTTTTATCTATGTAACATACTACCATAGAGGCTTGGTGGTATCATCTTGTTCTCTGGCTTAAGCTTGAATAGAATTAGAAGTAATCATCTCTATAATAAACAATATAAAATAAACATTGGATACTATAAAAATTCATACAAAGATAAAACAAACAAATTGTGTTGTTTTTATAGTATATGTAGAAGCAGGGAGATAGAGTTTTATTCAATAATTGCAAGCTAAACTCATATTTTACAAATGCTGTCACAATTATGTTAGTGCACAACGGTTAAAGATGAAGAGAGAGAAAATTGTAATTAACTTACTGAAATTGAAATTTTATTACAACTGATCAACTTTTTCTAAAAGAACAAAAGTTCAGTATTTATACACACTCATAATCTAAGTTGTCAAACTAAATGCATCTCAAATTAACTCTTAAATGACACTCAAATCAAAATGAACTATATCTAACACCATCCCTAAATTCATATTCAGATAATCAAAATCAACAACATTAATTCCATTCTTCAAATGGATAAAGTGTTCAGTCTTGATTGCTTTGGTCAACACATTTGTCAACTGCTTTTGAGTGCTACATTGAACAAATTCAAACACTCCACTCTGAACCTGGTTTTTCAAAAAATGGAACATTGTATCAATGTGCTTGCTTGTCTCATGTAACACTGGATTCTTGGCAAGGATTATAGTTTATTTGTTGTCAATCATCAACTTCACAGGCTTGCTCACCTTGATCTTTAGATCATACAACAAGTTCAAAATCCCCACAGGTTGACAAGCAAACAAAGCACATGGAATGTACTTAGCTTCACAGGTTGACAATGCAACCACTGGTTGCTTCTTGGAGCACCAAGAAATAAAACCTCTCAGATAATTAAAGAAATATCCATAAGTACTTCTTCTGCTAACTCTCTCTACACACCAATCAGTGTCTGAATAGCATATCAGCTCTGAATCAGATTTAGCATTCGAAAGGGAAAAACTTCATACTTTAGAGTCCTCTTAATGTCTTAGTATCCTGACAACAGCTTAGTAATGTGATCACTTTGGTTTGTTCATAAATCTACTCACCATTCTAACTGCATAACAGATATCAGGTTCTATATTATAGAGATATCTCAATGAGCCTACCAATAGTTTAAAAGTTGTAGCATCTACATCATCACCCTCCACATCAAAATCCAACTAGTGATTTGTTCAGCAGGTGTGATTACAGAATTGCAATTCATTAGCTCAAATCTATTTAGAAGCTCAAATTCATACTTCAACTAGTGCAAGGTTATACCCTTGTCAAATTACAAAATCTCCACCCCTAGAAAATATGTCATATTTCCTATATCAGTCATCTCAAACTCATTCATTAGCATTTTTTTGAACTTAGACATCTCACTAGAACATCCCCCTGTTAGCAATATGTCATCAACATAGAGACACACCATAATCATATTGTTTTCAAATGTATGTTGAACATAAGCACAATACTCCATCTCATATTTTCGGAACCCTTGAAGCTTGAAAAATGAATCATTTTTCAAATTCAAAGCTCTAGGAGCTTGTGTCAGTCCATACAAGGCTTTATGCAACATGTACACCATAGATTCCTGTTTTTTCCCACAAATCCAGTAGGTTGTGACACATAAACTTCCTCTTGTAAAGAAACATTAAAAAATGTAGATTTTACAACTAAATGCATCAGAGGATAATTTCTATTAGTAGTTATAGAAATCACTAATCTGATCGTTTCATGTTTAGCTACAGAAGCAAACACCTAAAAGTAGTCTAAACAAGATTTCTGTAGAAATCCTCTAGATACTAACCTTGCTTTGTGTTTTCTAACTAATCCATCTGACTTTAGTTTCACCTTGTAAACACATCTTACCCTGATGGGTTTCTTGTCCTTTGGAAGCTCAGTCAACTCCTAAGTCTCGTTTCTTTATATAACCTTGAGTTTTCTTTCATGGCCCTAAGCCACACTTTTTTTAGAGCTTTTTCAGTACTAACTAGTTCAGAGTCCACCAACATGGAACATTGAGTGACTTCTCCTTTAGAGTCTACCTCAGTATCTTGCAATATGTCAAAACTCTGCAAATCTTCTTGGTATTTTTCTGATTCATTATGGTCTCTGAACTTGTTTAGAATCTTCTTCAGATGTTGGAACAATATCAAATGCAGGATTACCTTCAGAGGCATGATTACCACCAGAGTCTTAATCATCATCAGCATGTGGATTAGAACTAGATTCTCCTTCAAAGTCAAATTTTCCTTCATAATCTTCTTCAGCATCATAGTCACCTTTAGAGTTTGAGTCATCTTCAGACTCATAATCTAAAATATCTTCAAAAGTTAACTCAAGTGTTAACACTGCACCAGAGTTGGATTAAGACGTGTTCCAAACACCTTCAGATGGATTATGCTAGTTGTAGAATAAAGGGGGGGGGGTTATGTTATCTTCTCCATAGGGATTGTCCGATATCTTGATGCTTGCCTTCCAATAGTTTACAGTTCTAAGAAAAAGGGTTTCAAATTTTGGTTCATAGATTGTCACGATTTTTAGTAGCAAAGATTAAATTATAGAAAGATGTTTGTCTTAAGAAAAGCATGTCAATATTAGATTTTGTTAGCCTATTTCGTGCATATCCGATTAATCAAGCATGTGAACTTGGTTTAGATAAATATAATTGTGTATCCTCTCGATTCCGTTTATTTCTAAAATGGCTTCGCGGGTATTATTATTTCAATCGCTAGATGATTTCTCAAAACAACAATCGAAACAATAAACATAAAGATCGATACAAAGAAAATTTTAACTCCCAAATCTATGTCTAGAGTTTGTTTGTTAATATATGAAGAACTTAGATTAAGACTTGGAAAATCTATGTCTAGAGTGATTCAAATCATACATATATCATTAAAAGCAAAGATCTTCATCATATATTGATCATCAACTTTATTCACATACAAAAGATCAAAAGAAATACATACTAATAAAGTTAACTACCTCTGATCTTGACACAAAAGGTGTTTAGCTAGCCATCACCATGGTAGCTTGGTCAACAAGTAAAAAGGAAAGCTTTACTAACATCAATATCGAAAGATCGAAGATTGATGCTCCAAAGTTTTGATTTTTACTTCTCTTGGAATTTCTAAGCTTCAAACTCTAAATATCTCTTTACAATCTAAAAAGTGCAGAAAATGAAGTGTCTCTTCAAAATATCTCCCAAGTGCTTACTTATACAAGTCCCAAAAAGGTGCCTATAAGTGACACCGCGCTAAGCACCATCATAGTGCACTTAGCGCGATCAGCTCAAAGGCGGAAAATTCCCAGAAAGCGCGCTAAGCGTGGTCATGAACCCTTAATTACTTCATGTAACTCAAAAGTGCATTAAAATCACGCTAAGCACGAGTTACCGTCAAAATATCATGAAATTGATCTTTAGAGCCCACTTCCATCATCCACATGTTCAAAGCATTATATCCAGCAAGAAAACCTATCAAAAATCATAAAAATTATCATAATTCCTAATACTTACATGCATAATAGGAAACTTGCATATTTACACTAAAACATATGGATTTACTACTAAAACATCAAAGAAACAATTGGAAAGGGACACAAAATAACATAAAAATATGCACAATTTGGCACTTAGCGAATTACACTTTGCTTATCTACAGTCCACTTCTTAAAAGGAACAATTTTCTTCAACTTCATGGTTGGAAGCCTATTGAGTACATATGCTGCAGTGGTAACAACTTCTCCCCACAAGGTGTGAGATAACTTCTTCTCCTTCAGCATGCTCCTTGTCATATATCAACCAAAGTTTTATTTCTTATTTTAGAAAGACCATTGTGTTGAGGAGTGTATAGATAAGTAACCTCATGCTCAATCCTATTCACCTCATAGAACTTTTTGAGCTCAGCAGAGTTGTACTCACTTCCACCATCAGTTCTAATAATTTTCAGCTTCTGACCATTCTGTTTTTCAGCCTTCACCTTAAACTTCTAAAACTCAGCAAACACCTCATGCTTAAACTTGATGAGTGTTACCCATTTCATTCTTGTAAGCTCATCCACAAAAGACACAAAGTACTTATTTCCTCCAAGTGAAGGTAATTCAAATTGTCCACATACATCATAACACACTATGTCATACCCTAATTTTTGACCCTAAGATACACACATCATTTTCATCTCATACATACACTTTTATGCATCACTAACCCATTTTAGAAAGTCAAGATTGTTTTTTTGCTTCATTATGATCTCCAATTAGGGTTTTTAAGCCC